TCCCCTCCAGCTTCACTGGACTGTCATTTACCGAGGACCTCCTGCATGCCAAGGCCCTGCTGTCCTACACTCAGCCCCTAACTTGTGTCGCTGCCTTCAGTCACGGTCCCAGGGAGGGGGTGGGGGGGCAGTGGATATCAGGACCTCATTATTGTTATTTGCTCATTACTGTTATTATTACTAATACTATGCCCACAAGGAACCAGAGTCAACCACAGGTCAGCCAGGGTAGCCTGAGTTATTTTCTGATGATCATTTTAGAAAGATGGCTGGAAAACACAATTCAGAGGGCAAGGATTTGGAGTGAGGACTTCTGGATTCCAGTCTTGACTCTTTCTGCCTGGATCTGGGCCGGTTCCTTCACCCTTCTGACCTCAGTTTCCACATCTGCGAAGCAGGGGTGCCAGCCCTGCCACCTCCCTCTGACAGTGTCATCACATGGATCAATAAGGGAAAGTCTGGGAAAGTGGCTTGTAGGCTTTAAGAGAAGGGTCTGTATTAGGTGGTCCCTCTTATGGGTTGAATTGTGTCCCCTCCCAAAAGATCTGCTGAAGTCTTAACCCCCAGTGCCTGTGAATGTGACCTTATTTGGAAATAAGGTCTTTGCAGGTGTCATTACTTAGGTTAAGATGAGGTCATACTGGAGGAAGGTGGACCCCTGACCCGAGATGGCAGGTGTCCATATAAGAAGAAGGAAGGCCGTGTGGAGACATAGACAGAGAGAAGGTCTTGTGAAAACAGGCAGAAACTGGACTGATGTGGCCATAAGCCAAGGAACGCCTGAGGCCACCAAGACTACAAGAAGCAAGAAAGGATCCTCCTTTAGAGCGTTCAGGGGGAGTGCAGCCTGCAATATTCCTTGATTTCAGACTCCTGGCCTCCAGAGCTATGAGAATTGCCATTGTTTTAAGACACCCAGGTTGTGCTGCTCTGTTCCAGCAGCCACAGGAAGCGAATACAGACCCCAAACAGGGTTCTCTGGGCCAGTGGAGATGTCGCCGCCCTCCCCTCATCTCACGGCCCCGAGTCATTACTGGAGCTGACCGCTGGGTGTGTGGACGGGTCCCCGGTCATTCTGCGTGGATGCTTCAGTGGCCCCGCCCCACCCGTGTTTGTGAGTGCTACCTTCGCTCCAGCATCTTCTTGAACTCGATCCTCATGAGGAAGCCCCGCAGGCGACACTGCAGCATTGTCATGATCTTGGCCAGACGCTCGTCCCGCATGTCCTCAAGCTTAGCCAGGATGCCCGCTCGGAAGAATACCTGTGGGAAAGGCACACTCCTCTGCACGAGGCCCAGCTGTTGCCGATGGCGGCCACTTGTGAGGCAAGCCCCAGAGGTTCAGAAAGGGCCTTGAAAGTTAAGAGACCCAGTCTGGTGCTGGTGTTTGAGGCCCCTTGGGAACAGCTGGCCCTGGCCTGGACATCCCCAATAGCGGGGCCACTGCCAGCCTCTGTGTCTGTTTCCTCTTAGCCTCCTATGAGTTCCAGCTCTGGCCTTGCACTCGCTGGCTGGGTCACCTTGGACGCGTCTCCTCACATCTCAGGGCCTCAGTTCCCCATCTGTGAAATGGGGATGTTGATCCCTCCCTGACAGGGCTGCTATAAGGAGTAAATAGAGATAACTGGGTGGGAAAGTCTCACGTAAACTGTGAAGTGGTAAGTAAAATATGATAGGCTGGGGCACCTGGCAGCTCAAGCATCTGACTCTCCATCTCACGGGTTCATGGGATCGAGCCCCACATTGGGCTCTGCGCTGACAGCTCGGAGACTGTTTAGGAGTCTCTCTCTCCCTCTCTCTCTGCCCCTGCCCTGCTCACACTCCCTCTCTCTCAAAATAAATAAACATTTAAAAAAAAATTTTTTTTTTCAACATTTACTTATTTTTGGGACAGAGAGAGACAGAGCATGAACGGGGGAGGGGCAGAGAGAGAGGGAGACACAGAATCGGAAACAGGCTCTAGGCTCTGAGCCATCAGCCCAGAGCCTGACGCGGGGCTCGAACTCACGGACCGCGAGATCGTGACCTGGCTGAAGTCGGATGCTCAACCGACTGCGCTACCCAGGCGCCCCGACATTTTTAAAAAATGTGTTAGATCGTTATAATCCTCACTGCTGTGGTGACTGCCCAGCACGACGGTGGCAAGGGGCCTCCTTTACTGCTATGCAAACGGCCTGTAGACAGTCACGGTCTCCTAGGATCTGGGAGTGGGAAGAGGGGGTGGTGTTGGGCGGGGGAGAGGTTGACTTTGTAGAAGGATACAGAGCTTTACCAGTGCTGCACAGTTTCAGGCACCCAGCTCTGGTGTGTGTGAGAAAGCTTTGCAGTGGGTTAGAAAGATCAGGAAATACCCAACTTTGCAGTGTGTTAGATCAGGAAACACCAGATTTCCAGCAAATACAGATTAAGGTTGCAAGGTAACATTCACTCCTCCCTCCACCTGTGACTTTTAAGACTTTTCGAGAGCAAGGGTGTTGGCACGGTTGTGGATCAGGGGAGGGTAGATTGGTACAACAGTTTTGGAAAAAGGGTTGGCATTCCCTCATCAAGTTAGTTGTTTGCATACCCTGAAACAGTCAACTGTCCTCTGCCGTGTTAGTACATCTCAACCCCGGCTGCACATCTCTCCTACCTAGAGGGTTGGAAAGATACCGATGCCTGCACAGTGATTTCAAACAATTTCTGGAGTGAGGCTCAGGCATTGGTATTTTTATCCCTCCCCAAAGTGATTCTAATGTATAGCCAAGGTTGAGAATTTCGTTCTGGAGAAACCTCTACACGGGATCATGTGCAAAGATACTCAAAGCAGCATTTGTTGATAACTGCAGAGGGGAAAAAAAATCAATTTCCAAGGGCAGGAGAAAGGATAATTGTCATGTGGCTGTCTGAGGCAGCATGATACGGTGGTGACAATGAGTGAATGTCCTATACTGACCAACAAGGATGAATCTTGGAAACATGAATGAGTGTTAGAAGCATGCTACAGAAGATTATATCGAGTGTGGTACTTTCATGTGCATATGTGACAAAACTATTTTTTAAAAGGCAGGGGGTGGGGCGCCTGGGTGGCGCAGTCGGCTAAGCGTCCGACTTCAGCCAGGTCACGATCTCGCGGTCCGTGAGTTCGAGCCCCACGTCAGGCTCTGGGCTGATGGCTCAGAGCCTGGAGCCTGTTTCCGATTCTGTGTCTCCCTCTCTCTCTGCCCCTCCCCCGTTCATGCTCTGTCTCTCTCTGTCCCAAAAATAAATAAATGTTGAACAAAAAAATTTAAAAGGCAGGGGGATGGTTAGCATTCGGAGCAAGGGGTTACTCCTGGGGGTGGGGAAGAAGGGGAGGAAAGAGATGAGAAGAGATTCTGGATTTTTAAGTGGGCCCATGGGTGATGACTTTATTATCAGTTATGTTTCATAATGTAACATCTTTTTATAGTCTTCCAATAGGACATGATAGAAACTTCTAGAGGGATAGAAGGAGCCAGGAGACCTGTACCTGGCCTCAGCCTCCTTGGATGTGCTATGTGACCTTAGCCAAGCCACTCCCTCTTGGGAGGCCTCTAACTCCCCTCCTGTTCAATGGGAGTGCAGGACCCTGAGTCCTCCCAGCTCTAAGACTCTGTAACTCCACACCTTGAGGCCAGGAGCAGAGCTCTTGATTAAATCCTTTATGCGGATGCTATGGATACCAACAGGAAAAGAATGGAAAAGAATGCTCCCTCCACCTGCCTTCCTCCCCCACAAAAACCCAAAGAGCTAGCTAGCCATGATGGGGTAGAGACATTGGGCTTGATTTCATAAAATGTTTCTTGATATTTCAAAATGAATTGTCATTGAGTTGTGTCCTTTTAGGAGCAGTGAGGTGAGCATGTGGCTGGGTGTGGGGACACAGTTTACAGGCAAAATCATCCTGTTCTCTGCTCTGCCTCTGCCACCAGAGCCTGCCTGGTCCTTGTCCCCAAGCATGATATGGCAGGGACAATGACTGAATATCATGTACCAACCAACACGGTTGAATCTTGGAAACTTGGGTGAAGCTTGGAAAGCTATCCCCAGGATCCCCAGGACTCTACCTGGACCTGAGGTGCCCAATGCAACATTGAACAACAGCAAAATGCAGTCCATTTGCCCAGCCAGTAACTGCATCAAATGTTGGCAACAGCAGCCCCATCCCCTTTCCCATGACCCAGTGTCGTGCGGCCTGGGGCCTGCTCCATTCTGCCTAGTACTGTGGAATTGGGCACATCACCTCCACGACCCTCTCCAGGCTTCCTCAAGGTTCCGCTCCTTCAAAGGTGGGGGTGGGGAAAAGAACTGGTCTCTGAGGTTCTCTCCCACTCAAGTATTCAGCGACTCTATGACAAAACCTGCAGTGTTCCTATAAGTCAATTTAGCTATACACAGCATTTCTCAATTGTGAAGGAGGCCAGAGCTCGCAGTTCTGGAGGATTCCAGAGCAGCGTTACAATTCTGCTAATGCTCACTACCATGAAGCAAGCTCTAGGGGCTTAGGAACTCTTCCTGTTCTGTTCACTGGTGTATTCCTAGAGCCTTGAACCATGCTTGGCACACGGAGGTGCTCTATGAGCATTTGCAAAGTGTCCGCGTCCTCTACCAAGCCTGTAGGGAAGCCATGTTGCCTGTGGCATCCATGAGACTTGGAGAGGTAGTTCATCTGTCCTGGGCTACACAGAACTAGGCTTTAAGCCTGATGCTCCTGAATGTAAAGCTAGTACCCCTCCTGGGTCGCCCTGCTTGTCATGTTGGGTGCAGTCTGGTTGGGCAGCTATAGATGGACACCTTGCACCATTAGCCTGGCTGGCCCTTACAGTCCCGACAAGACTCTGCAGGGCCAGGAAGTGGGACAGACACACGGCAGCCCAGGCCCTATGAGTCAAGATCAGGCAGCCTCTCTGAGTCACCCCCAACTCACCTGCCAGCTCAGGGCTGGAGCTTTCAGTGTGGGTGGGCTGGGATTATGGTGCTTTGCTCTCAGACCTCACCCCCACACACATACCTCCATGCCCCAGTAAAATCCAGGACCTTGATTCTGATTGGGGCTCATACAGTACTAGGAAATAACCTACCATTTATTATGTACCTGTCCAAGCTGGGTTCTCACCCACGTTATCACTAATCACCCCCGAATCCCATGAGATCAGCTGTATCAGCCCTACTTTTGCAGAGGAGGAAACTGAGGCTCTCAGCAGCCGTGGGGCTTGCCTAAGGCAGGCAACTGGTCAGCGGCCAAGCTGGAATTCACACCCTGAAGCCCACCTTCTTGGGACGAGGCTGAGTGGTGGAGGGAGGGAGTATCACCAGAAGCCCCTACCTTGGTATGCCCAATTTTGTATTCATTCACATCCAGGTCAATGGACCCGAGCAGCAGCTCTGAGGCCTTCTTGTTGTCTACAAACCCCTGAGGAATCACATTGGGGTTCAGCACTTGGTACCTGTTGGGAGAGAGATGATGACAGCCACCATCACGCCCGAGCTGGCAGTTCAGGAAGTACATCCATGTAGTTGACCCATCCATTGGTCTTTGTGATGGCCTTGGAATCATGGTTAGACCTGTTCTGCAGATGCCCGAGGCAGGCACTGGGGTGGGACTGGCAGGAGACACTGGGGAGTGAATGTCTGTGTGGGTCAGGAGTTCAAAGGGCTGGTGCTCCTAGAAATGAAAACACTAAAAATTTTCCTTCCTGATCTTTTCTTCCAGACATAGGAGAAGCACTTATTTTTCTGGCCTGCAAGCAGCCCCCTTTGTGATTTAGACAAGTCCTTCCCTGTTTAAAGCCTTCAGAGGGCTTGGACAGGATGACCTCTAATGACTTGTCCATCAACCTATGGTCCTGTGTTCTAGTATGTAGGGAGTGGGTAGAAGGGAAATAATCCCTAAGGTGGAGGTGTTACTTTGGGTTCCCCCAGAAGCAGACCCTGGGACAAGGTATCCAAATGCAAATAGTTTACTTGGGGGATGGCCGAGTTGGGGAGGGGGACAGGGCAGTCAATAAGAGGCATGTTATCAGGTCAGTTATCAGAATGGGCAGCTGGGGATTAATGTTGCTAGGGGGTACTGGGAACAGTGGTGTGCTGAGACCAACTCCTACCGGCCGGCAAGAGCCAATTGGGTGAATCTCTCCTCAACCCCACATTCGCTGGTGTCACATCGCTTGGCTCGAAAGCAGCCATGGGAGTGTTTACACCATGGAAATCTAAAGACACTACAAATCAGGGCTTTTTAATTTCTTAATTTTTATCATTTTTTAAAAACGTAACCTGGAGAACCTGTTGTTAGACATTTATCTGGGAGCCCCACTCATAGTTAGCCCACCAGAAGAGTGAGGGAATTGAAATGCTGATATGCCAGTTGTCTGTAAGTCATTGGTTATGGGCCGCTCCTGGGGAAGGCATTAGTTCCTGAGACTTTCAGCCTGCCAAGTAACAAAGCTGGTTCAAGAGCCAGAGAAAGCCCCTCAGGCACAGAAATGCAGGTTCTGGCTGTTGAAAGTCAGGCCAAGGTGTACTCAGGTAGTGAGCTGCCGTCATCGTACCCGTAGCATCTGCTACAACAGGACTATATTTATCAATCAGTCCATCCCTGGAAACTGAGAACTGTACTCAGGCTATCAGGAAGACATCACTCACCTCTGTTTGAACTCTGGGTACAGCATCCTGTTTGGGAAGCCCTTCCTGCAAATACGGATGCCTTCCAGGACTCCGTTGCAAGCCAGCTGGTGCATGATCAGGTGGGCGTCCACCACGCCTGCCAAGAGGGAGGGTGCAGGATGTAGTCAGTGTTCTAGGGTGGCACAGGCCACTCCTTGTCACTGCAGAAAGCTAACTGAACGTCTGTGTTGTCAACCCCAGTCTCCTCCCGTCATTGCATGCAGGGCCCCACAATTCAGCCAAGACCAAAGGCCCTCCTGAGTATGACTTCTAGCTGGTTCTCACCCAGCCAGAACATGATTTTCACTTTACAAAACAGCTAGAATATGATTTTGGGGGATCCATTTTGGGGGATCCTTTCAGTGCCCCATTTTGTGCCCTAGTCATCCCTCGTGATTAAAAGTGAACTTAATTCAGGGCACCTGGGTGGCTCAGTCAGTTAAGTGTCCGACTTCGCCTCAGGTCATGATCTCACGGTTAGTGAGTTCAAGCCCCACATTGGGCTCTGCATTGACAGTGCAGAGCCTGCTTCGAATCCTCTGTCTCTCTCTCACTCTCTCTCTCTCTCAAAAATAAAGAAACATTACAAATTTTTTAAAAAGCGGATTTCATTTATACCTGGCTCACAGTTTGTGTGCAACAAACATTAGCTATTTTTATTAACGGTTATTGTTTCATTGGGTCAAAACTGTCCCAAGTTTGAAAAATTGGTGGGAGGAGAGGTTGGCAAAGAAGAGAAACAATACATAAGGTTTCAAAAATACTAAACTGCTCTCTACGTGTTCACTATGCTAAAAACAAGAAAGGGTATGTAGTTTAAGCAAACACTTCACAGAGCCTGAGGACTTCCAGCAGGGAGACATGTCCCCATGATGTACCTGATTGCTTGAACTCGTTGGGGACAATGCAGCGGACAAAATGGGGAGCCGTGCTGTGGAGGGTGGCCATCAGCTTATTCAACTGCTCCTGGGGGTGGAGGAAAAAGGAGAAGAAAGACTGAGTTAATAAGCTCAGTGTTGGTGTTGCAGGATACCGATGCTCAGGACAGGTCTTTATTTAGATTTCAACTAATTCATGTCTTTTTTTTCAACGTTTTTTTAAATTTATTTTTGGGACAGAGAGAGACAGAGCATGAACGGGGGAGGGGCAGAGAGAGACGGAGACACAGAATCGGAAACAGGCTCCAGGCTCCGAGCCATCAGCCCAGAGCCTGACGCAGGGCTCGAACTCACGGAGTGCGAGATCGTGACATGGCTGAAGTCGGACGCTTAACCGACTGCGCCACCCAGGCGCCCCTAATTCATGTCTTTTTAAAAATTTTTTAATGTTTATTTACTTTTGAGAGAGAGACAGAGCATGAGCAGGGGAGGGGCAGAGAGAGAGGGAGACACAGAACCCAAAGCAAGGCTCCAGGCCCCAAGCTGTCAGCACAGAGCCAGACACGGGGCTGGAGCCCACAAACTGTGAGATCATGACCTGAGCTAAGATCAGATGCTTAACCGACTGAGCCACCCAGGTGCCCCTAGAGTGCAATTAATTAAGTTAAAATGTAAATTCAAATTGAGTTCTTCTGCTGCACCAGCCTCTTTTCAAGCACTCACTAGCCATGTGTGGCTAGTGGCTACCATCATGGATGGCATATTGGGCAGTGGCCGTCTGTCATCTCAGAGGGACTTGCCCAAGGTGACGTGGTTTTCAATAAGCAGGGCCCTTCTTGATTCAGCGCTGGCTCATCATAGAGTCTCGATACTAGAAGGAACCATAGTGCCTATGAGGACGAAGCCCTGCCCGTTGTTAACCTCCCTATGGAGGTTCCCTCCTCCTCTGCTTGGATTCCTCCAATGAGGTAGCCCACTCCGCTTCCAGGCGGCTAGATCCTTGGCAAATATTGAAATCTTTCTTCGGGCCACATCTCCCTATTGGCTGCCTTTCTGCACTTTGGAACGTATCCCCAGTAATGCCCCAAATCTGTGGAAGTTGTGACCGGCCCAGAGGATCTGCCAGCCAACTCTGGGGCTGAAGATCTTAGGCACTGATATCTCCAATGATGCCACTCCCTGGGTTTCAGTCCGAAATGATGTGGTTGGACTGAACCATCTCTAAGGGTCTTTTCTGCTCTGAGGTCCTGTGGTTCTGTGACCCCTTTGGAAGGAAACAGACTCCTTACATGGAAGAGGCAACCGTAGGCATAGAAATGAACTCGTCCTGTCCTGGGCTGGGAGGTGGAAGCCAGACCACCACACCATTAGAAGGGAGTGTTCAATGGAAAGGAGGGTTCACTGGATGCACAGTGGCCTCTGGGGCAGCCCCTACTTACCCTGTAGAAGTTGGAGACGGTCATGAAGGAAGACCCCCTCTTCTGCTTCTTGCTTCCAGCTGAGGAAGAAAAACACACGTTTCATGTCAAAACGCAGCATGGAGACAGGCAGCCCCATTCAGTGCTCCATGTCGAGGAGACACATTCTCTGGTTTAAAAAGGCTTTTCTTAGGACTAGGTGAGGTGGGGGCCCTCACACCAGGAAAAGGACACCTACCAGGGAAGGGTTGAGTGGGATGACCATGGTCTAATGGTCAAAAGGAGCACTATGCTTTCTGGAGAGGGTGTAGCCCTTTGTGACTTAGGGCTACACATAGGGACAAACTGTTCCCATTGCCGGGGCAGGAAGAAGAGCCTGCAGACCATCTGGAGGCATTGCACGTTGGTGGTGAAAACGTCAATGAATTCAAGGAAATTTGCAGCTCTTGCCCCACTGAGTGGCAGCCACCTTGGGCAGCTCCCATCCAGGCCATTCCCTGTGGGCCACACGACCTTGATTGGGTAGGAGGCAGGGCTGGGCTTGGCCTGAGCCTCAGACAGAGGAGAGCGGGGAGCAGAAAATAAGCACACGCATTTGGGCATCCACTCTTCCAAAGCAGTATTGCTCCACCCAGAGGTGACACGGGCCCAGCGGGCAGTACAGTTGATGGAAGCTCTCGCAGGATGCATGCGCACCTCTCCACTGCACTGTCATCCATGGCCTCCCTCAAGTAACTTGTCACCCATTCATCCACTTTGCAGGAGTTGAATAAGGTGAGTTTTGTTTCCTTGTTTCCATTTTGGCCACTAAAGGGCATCAGCACAGGGGGACTGGACACAACAAGGGGTCATTCGTACCTGGAGCCTCCTCTTCTTTGAAGAGAAGGGCCAGTAGCACCAAGGATGATTTCTGGAACAAGCCCACCACTGTTTCATTCAGGGGGTCTTTGTTCTTCTCCAGCCATCCTGTGATGTTGTAACCCACCTGGAGGGGACAAGCGCCAATGGTTACCTTCCAGGTCTAGCATCCACCTTTTGGGTCCCACGGCCAGAACCTCTACCTACAGGTTCTGCCTGCTCTGGGTTCCTAAGATCAACCTCCAACCCCATCTCCTGGGGCTTCAGCTCTTGACCTGATGACTTTCCTGGAGTCCTGGGATGTCCCTGAACCACAGTAAGAGGTGGAGTCCCCATTATCTGCTTTCATGGGCATTTGCAGTTTGCCTGTTTAGGTCACCCTGTCTCCGAGCTTTCCCCACAAAACAGGACTCCCCAGCTACTTTCTGTCAGGGTGTGACCTCCTCTTGCAAGTCTGGTTCGGCTGGCTACTCTGAGCCTCCCTGACCTCCTGGCTCTTTTTCCACCCAGGTGGGTTGATCTTCTTCCAGGCTCAGCCCTTGCTCTGACTGACTGGCCTCGACCAGGGAAATCCTGAGCTACATGAAGAGCTCCCTACAAGGGTGTCTAGTCTCCCCTTGCTCAAGGGCACACATCCCTTGGCCATTGCCTGGTGGAAAGGGCCACATGGGATCCATGTGTTTAGTTAATTGGACATCCATTAATTTCTATTTCCTGTTTTGCTACGTGGCCCTAGCTGGGGAGGCAAAGAGGAAGGCGCATTTCAAATTCTTCCACTGAGCGTAGGGAACCGAGGAAAACAGATAAGAAGCAGAAACCTTTGGGCTTTCCTTCCCCTGTAGAGCATAAAGACATTCATCACCTGCGGGCCTTACTTTAGAGCCTTCTTGGAGGTGCATAGGTCCCATTAGACTTTGAATATTCCATTGCTATCAATACAGAGCCCTCTCATTTCATCGTGGGAGGTGAGGCGGAGCACTGCAGTCGGCCTCCAAAGCTGCTGTTTACTCTACTTGTTGGCATAATTCATTTTGCAAGTAATTGGCATTGTTATGGTTGATGAGGTCATAAAATCCTGGCCCCGATGCCCGATCCAAGAGCAGCTTTCCTGACAGCTCTGTGCTAAGGCTGCTGTTTCCCTGCAGTTAAACCCACAGAAGCTCAACAAACTCCAGTGGTAACAGGGAGCACGGGCGTTTACAGCAATACCGCAAATCGCAGGGAAATAAAACACATTGTCAAGAGCTGGCTGAACAAACGTGGTCTCCCCTATCAGTTATTCAAATAAGAAGCTAATTCCCTCTTCCCCAAGGACTAAGTTTGTCATGAGTGAAAAAGCCACTCCAGAGATGTCGTTTTGTTGCTTTGGTGGCCATGAGCCGTCAGAAGGATAAGTTAATCCATTGGGGGATAATTGATAGGCTCGTGGACTTTTTTCCCTTTTTTGCACGTGTTGTAAATTCTGTCCAAGATCTAAGTGCAGCTGTGAAACCAAGGGCCGCAAACAATGGTGTGGCCCCAGCAGGTGAACTGCTGGCGGTTCCCTGGCAGGCATCCTTGGCTGGATTGCTTTGGATTTCTCAGAGGGAGAAGTGATGAGGAAGTATGAGTCAGGGGTCATTTTACTGAGCTGATCACCCTGTTCTATGGCCGCTGCACCAGCTGGAGGCAGGAAGCCTCAGCAAGGTCACGGCAGGAAGGACCTACAATAGCCAGAGCCGCCTGCAGCAAGAAGATAGATGGCCGCAGGAGGTGCCAACAGGGTACTCACGGTGCCTGCATAGTGGACGAGCTCGAAGTGGGCCTCGGGCCCCTTGCCTTTGCCTCCCTTGGGCTTGAGGAAGTTGCTGGACTTTCCCAGGTGGTTGTCATACAGGGCCGCCTTGAAGGTGGCGTCGGTGGCCTTGGGGAAGACACACTGTTCCTCCAAGATGGAGAAGATGCCCATGGGCTAGAAGGAAGAGCGGTGGATGTTGTTAGAGGAAGCCATAGGACCCCAACGGGGCCACTCAGGTGTTGGCCTGGGGGTGGTGGGAGGGGTGCCCCAGACACCCGCGTGGCCAGCCAGGAAGCAGAACTCTGGGCATAGACCCCCAGGAACGGTGAAGCTGCTCCAAGGTCTGGTCTTCAAATGCCAAGGCCATTTACACTTGAAAGAGACTAGAATTCATTGAGTCTAACAGAAGGGGAGATGGAAGTCTGAAAGGGCTACTTAGCTCCCCAAATGCTAATCCCTCCCAAACAGTGGTGCCAGGCAGCCTTGGCCCTCAGGGAAATGGTGAAATCAGTGACACCCGTCCTCTCTGCATTTAATTCTCTGTTATCCGCTCCTGCCCTCCGTGACGTTCCTGGCTACCAAGAACCACATATGGTTCTTCTCAAAGAAGAGAAGAGCTCACATGGGAGCTCATAAAACTGTCAGTGACTTAATATCTATGGAGGGTCTGGATTTCTAAAAATTTCTGGAAGAGGGCAGTGCTTAACCCCAAAGCTCAAACATGAGGGACATTTCAGGCTCTGTGACAGCCGGACAGGGGGGTATTTGTTGGTGTTAGAGGACAGGTAGATTGTGTGTGCAGCCTGTTTGGGGAGACTTTTCCTGGGAGGTTGAGGCTGGGCTCACATCGGGGACCCCAGCCTGCTTTCTCACCCCTAGGCTGAGTCTCAGAGACAACATATATTCTTTCTCCTATCTCTTGAATTTTTACTTTTTAATAATTTTAAACTTGCAAAAGAGTGCAGAGCATTCCTACACGTCCTTCATTCAGCTTCTCCAAATGTTAATGCAAGCTTGGTAACGACAATGAAAACCAGAAAATTAACATTGATACAATACTATGAACAGACTGTTCACATTTTGTCATCTGTTCTGTCAGTGTCCTTTTCCTGTCCCTTTTCTGCATTTGCTTGAACAGTATATATTCTTGAACTAGGCCATTTGCTAGAACATTCCTGATGGTGTGACTACAGGGGTGGCGATTAGGTTGTCTGGGTTAGAACCTGACTGTGCCATTCACAGGGTGTATAATCTTGGACAAGTTTCTTCCCTTCTCTGTGCCTTAATGTTCCCATCTGTGAAATGGTTGTATTGTGTCACACACACACACACACACACACACACACACACACACACACCCTGCCATATATATGGTAGCTTGTGATGATCCAATGAGTTGAGGCATACAACAGCCCAACTAATGGTGACCATTGCAATCACTGTTGTAC